GAGCCACTGAGCCCGGCTGCCAATTCTTTTCTTAAAGTATTATGATAATTGTTCAAGGTCTGCTTATGAGTGAGAACATGTACTCAGTTTTCTGTTTCTGTGAAAGATCACTGAGTATGATAGACTCTAAACCCATCCAAATTGCCGCGAAGTCCGTGTTTGTCCTTCTTTATGGCTGCATAATATTCCATTGTGTATATGTACCACATTTTTTTTTATCCAGTCCAGTTTTGATGGGCAGCGTGGTTGGTTCCATGTTTCTGCTTTTGTGAATAGTGTTGTAATAAATATGCGTGTGCAGGTATCTTTTTTGCAGAATGATTTGAGTTCCTTTGAGTATATTTCCAATAGGGGGTTGCTGGGTCATATGGGAGGTGAATTTCTAGTTCTTTCAGAAATTGTCACACTATTTTCCAAAGAGGTTGCACTAGTTTGCATTTCCACCAGCAGTGTAGAAGCGTTCCTTTTTCTCTGCATCCTCGCCAGCATCTGTTGTTGTTTGTTTTATTAATCATGGCCATTCTTACTGGGGTTAGGTGGTATATCAGTGTGGTTTTGATTTGCATTTCTCTGATGATTAGTGAGGCTGAGTTCTTTTCCATGTAAGACTCCATTACTACTACTACTTCTTTTTTTTTAATATTGTAAATCCTTTTTTTTTAGTTGGAGTCTCACTCTGTCGCCCAGACTGGCCACTGCAGCCTTGTCGAGCTGGGCTCCAGTGATCCTTCTGCCTCAGCCTTCTGAATAGCCGGAATTACAGGCGTGCACTACCGCACATGGCTAATTTTTTTATTTTATTGTAGAGATGAGGTCTCGCCTGCCCAGGCGGGTCTTGAACCCACGGGCTCAGGCAATCCACTCACCTCGGCCTCCCAAAGTGCTGGGATTACAGGCTGAGCCACCGAGCCCGGCCAGCTTTTTTATTTTTAAGAGTTCAGGCCTGTTTTCTTGTAGAATGTCGTATAATCTTGTTTTGATTGTTTCCAGCGATTTTTGATGTAGTGATGTATATTTCCTGTTGCATTGCTTTTGTCTGTTCCATTACTGATGTTGCTCAGTATGGTCCACCTGTTTTGTCAGGGTCTGTTGGTCTGTCCATTGGAAGTGTACCTTTTCCTCCAAGGCCTGACAGGTGTAACTCGCTCAGGATCATAGAGGAAGTGGTGAGATCAAGAGTCAGACTTGGGTCTGAATGGCTTCAGATCCTATGTTCTGTACCACTTTGCCTCTTCCTTTTTGAAAACATGGCTTTATAATATCCTATCTCATGGAAATACACACCCATTCTGTTATATATTGAGAGTACTTTCAGTTTTTTACTTGTACGTTTTTATAAGTATATCTTGGTTTTTGTTTCAGTATCCTTAAATGTCAGAGGTCAGATTTTGGTTTCTTGACTCTGTTGGTCCCCCTGCGGCTTGTGTATTCTTGAGGAAGTGTCTGTCTCAAGTGTGATTTTCTGACTTGGTAAAAATCCATGTGTTTGTGGTAATTGTGAGTGACTCCTTAATCAGAAGTGTAGGTGTGCCTTTCATTTGCTTTCCAATGTCACTGTGACTAGTCTTTAGTGGGCCAGGTTTGTTGTGTGCCAGTATCTTCTGTCATCCTCAGTCCTATGAGTGAGGTAATGCTGTCTATCCATATTTTCAGATGAGAAAACCAAGACTCAGAATCTAGCTGTGTTGGGGACCAAACCTGATTCTTTCCACCTCCTAAACATGTCTTCTCTCTGCTTTACCCTTCCCTGGAAATTCCTGCAGTCCCCCCAAGTGGCTGGTGAGCTGGTAGGGTGCAGGGTGATCCAGAGAGTGCTGCCGGAGAGGGCAGCTCTCAGCCCCACTCGGGCTGAGCCTCTGAGGGTCACCAGCACTGAATCTGCCAGGCTCGGGCTGAACCATACGAATCTCCTTGGGGAGGCTGGTGGGAAGCTCCGTGTCTGAGGGGAAGGGTGATTCCACTCATACTGGGAATGATGGCAACTTCTCTTTCCCGGACCTTCCTATATACCCGCACATTGCTGGAATTGTTCTGAACCTTGTCACTAACACCACAGCAATCCTGCAAATGTGGGGCTCCTGGCTCCTTATGATGTATGGATGAAGGTCCTGCTCAACGTATATACCCATCTAATGGTCACCTGTGGTTCATATCCAGGATCCTCTGACCTCCTGTGGGTTTGCTGGCCACCGCTTTTGTTTTCCCTTTGTACGTATAGAATCAAAAGTAATCACATACTGTGATAGTGTTAGAATCATAGACAGTCAATAACATAACAACAATATATAATCAGACTCCAGGTTTAACAGGCCAAGGTAGTTTATTCCTTTGTTTTTTGTTTTTTTTTTTTTGAGTCAGAGTCTCACCCAGGCTCGAGTGCAGTGGCACGCTCACAGCCAAAGGCCACTGCAGCATCAACCTGCTAGGCTCAGGTGATTCTTCCACCTTAGCCTTCCAAGTAACTGGAACCACAGGCACGTGCCACCACACCTGGCTAAGTTTTTGATTTATTTTAAAGATGAGATGTCGCCAAGTTGCCCAGGCTAGTCAAACCCCTGGGCTCAGGCAGGCCTCTCACCTCAGCCTCCTAAAGTGCTAGGATTATAGGCTTGAGCCATCTCACCTGGCAGGCAATTTATTCCTAAACCCAGCACCATTACATGTGCATGGCAGGGTGTTTGTGTGAACTGCTATTAATATAGTAGAAGAACAAGACTTGATCTTCATTTGTGCATTCTCACGTGCGGTGAAGACCTTGTGACACTTACTTTCTCACCAGTCTGTTCACCATCTTTTTGACAAAGTTCAAAGCACCTAACCTTGGTGGTACATTTCAACTTTTCTTCTCTCTGGGCTTTTTGCTGGTGGGTAGAGGCCAAATAGAAGCAGAAATGTGAGCAAGCAGGCCAGCGGGCAGTCTGGCAGTAAAATGAATAAACACAAAAATGTGAAGAGAGAGGAACATATATACTGTAGTCAAGAGAGACTGTATTCCTTTAGCAGGACTTCTATGTGATTGTCTTCTTGATGCCTTTGCAAATTTCTTCCCATTGTATTCCCTTTTACCTTGCTTTATCCTCAGACATGTCATAACCTGCAACTTACCTTGATTTGCAGCCAAAGTGATTATCCACCAGTCACTTAGTGTGTTAGAAGATATCGTGGAGAATATTTCTGGGGAGTCCACCAAGTCTCGACAGATCTGCTACCAGTCGCTGCAGGAATCTGTTCAAGTCTCCCTGGCCCTCTTTCCAGCTTTTATCCATCAGTCAGGTAGGAGCTGGCTCAGCGGCCTTCCTCGTGGGTGGTGCTAACAAGAGCAGAATAACCGCTTAGATCTGTAGAGCACATGGAGCCAGTGCAGTGTAGGCCTTCACGCTCAGAGAAGGGAATCCGGGTGCTGGAGGCAGAGGGCAGTGATGTTTATTTGGGGAGTCTAGGGCTGAGGCCTCATGGAAAAGGGAGCAGAGCCCTCAGTTTGGACCTCAGCACCCGTGTTATATGGCACTGAGCTACTTGATGCCTCATGCCAGTTTAACATGACAGAGTAATGGGGGCATTATATAAGCAAGGCATTAGAACTTCAGATTGGGGCCACTTATTATGTGGCAAAGTGCATTTTGCTGAGATCATTCTCCTCACCCTACTCTGTCACTGTCACTGATAGAGGCTCTCTCTAGCTCTGTGGCTGTACTTGCCCAGCTCTCATGAGAGCATTTGTAGTAGTCTTGTCAGTTTTACAAGAGAAATATCAGGTACTTCTTGTCAGCAGATGCTCATTGATTGCCTCTTGCAAGTAGACTGTGTGCGGTTACAGCCAAAACATGCCATACAAGCTGATTTTTGAGATCTGGAAGTGAAACTGCACTAATGTAACCAATATTTTCTGCAGTTAATCCATTTAATGGACCAGGGTCATGCAACCTAAATGCACCCTCATTATCCACTCTTAGCCACTTAACCCCTGAGCCAACTGCAGGGATAATTAGTCATGGAGAGAAATGATTAAAGCACTCCGGTGTTGACCCACCTGAATAGTTTCATCAGTGCAAGCACAGAATGATCCACCTGCAGTAAACTCTGTCTAGATGTCAGGCGGTGAGGGAGGCTTCAAGGTGATCTTCACTTCCTGTCGTAAACCATCAGGCATAGGTTCCCTGTACCAGAACCATTTTCTCAGCATGTCCTTAATTGTTTTCCACTTTCCGCCATTGGCTCTGATACTGTTGGGGAAATTTTTTCAGCAGGAAGCCTTAGAAAGAGATGATAGTGCAGATTGCAAAAGAAAGTTGATCAAGCCAAGGGCTTCTGCTTATCCCTGTGTACATAGCTCTGATCATCTGCATTGTCCTTTTGTTTAGATGTGACTGATGAGATGCTGAGCTTCTTCCTCACTCTGTTTCGAGGCCTTAGAGTACAGATGGGCGTGCCTTTCACTGAGCAGATCATACAGACTTTCCTCAACATGTTTACCAGGTAATCACAGCCCTGCTGCCTGTGGCTATCAGATTCAAGTGAGAAGTCGTGGGGCCTGACTGCAAAGTGTGGGCCCTTTTGTTCCTTTTCCTTACATGCACAAGCATCAGTTTTCATGCTCGTCCCCAAAGAAACATTTCTTTGGTTACTGTGTGGTTTTCTCTTGTCTGTAGAGAACAGCTGGCTGAGAGCATCCTCCACGAAGGCAGCACTGGCTGCCGGGTGGTGAAGTTCCTGAAAATCCTGCAGGTGGTGGTTCAGGAGCCTGGTCAGGTGGTTCAGGAGCCTGGTCAGGTGTTCAAGCCCTTCCTGCCCAGCATCATCTCCCTGTGCATGGAGCAGGTGTATCCCATCATCGCTGAGGTAGGCAATCGCTTAGGGAGGGAATCTAATATCATAGAAAATGCACTGTGTTTTAAAGTTCATTTGTTAGTCTTTAAAAAATATTCTTGTAAAATGTTTTTTTCCAAGGAAGAATGCCTTAAGCTTCAGACAGCCTTTTGTTTTTTATTGTTTCAGAGAGAGGGTCTCTCTGTTTCTCAGGCTGGAGTACAGTGGTGTGATCATAGCTCACTGCAGCTTTGGGCTCTTGGGCTTGGCTGGGCACTGTGGCTCATGCCTGTAATCCCAGCAATTTGGGACACCGAGGTGAGAGGATTGCCTAAGCCCCGGAGTTTCAGACCAGCCTGGGCAACATGGTGAGACCTTGTTTCTACAATAAATTAAAAAAAAAATTAGCTGGCATGGTGGTGCATACCTATAGTCCCGGCTACTTGAAAGGCTCAGGTGGAAGGATCGCCTGAGCCCAGCAGGTCAAGACTGAATAGTTGTGATCAGCAGAATGAGACTGACTCAAAAAAAAAAAAAATCAAAACGAAACAAAAAACCCTTCCTGGGTTTAAGCAGTCCTCCTGCCTTAGCCTCCCAAAGCACTGGGATAAGTATAGATATAATTTTTTTGGTGATAGTTATGTAAAGAAAAGCTAATCTTTTTTATTGTCTGGACTAAGACCAAAATAAGTCCAGTGCTCTGTGTCATGAAATGTACTTGGGCCCTTCAAGGCGTCCTGCCATGGAAGCTTGTGATCTCTGGTGTCAGTTTTAATCAGGGATGAATTAAATGCAGCCCAGGGCCTTATAATTTTTAATTCTCCAGAGACATCTGGAATAATGTGGCCTGCATACTGTCCAGTGATGTGGTGACTTTTGGTTAAGTCAGAAAATACTGCTGAGCCTTCCCTTTCTCCTCTCCCGCTCCTCTCAAATCCTGGCTACCAGTGAGAGAGGAGACAGGTCCAGAGAGCCATTAGCACAGCATGGAGACTCCACCAAGAGGTCTTCTCCATTGCTTCTTTCTGTGGTTCCTGAGTGCTCTTTAAACCGCCCTTTTCTATAGAGAGCAGAACTGCTTTTAAGGCATCATATTTGTCTGCCTCAGAGGTTGCAGAAGACCAGCAGGTTAGCTAGGACAGCATTTTTGATCCTGGGAAAAGGAATAACTAAGAAGATATGACATCAAATGGGTTGTTTTCCTAACAGAAAATCTGTATTTCTAATTGTTCTTCCACTTAGTGACTTTTTTTCTAGCGTAAAAAGCTGAGTGCTCAGTCTGTAATCCCGCGCCTTTGGGAGGCTGAGGTGAGTGGATTGCCTCAGCCTGCGGGTTCGAGACCCGCCTGGGCAGCGAGACCTCATCTCTACAATAAATCAAAAAATCAACCGGGCGTGGTAACGCATGCCTGTAATTCCGGCTACTGGGAAGGCTGAGGCAGAAGGATCGCTGGAGCCCAGCAGGTCGAGGCTGCGGTGGCCGGGAGCGGCCACTGCACTCCAGTCTGGGCAATGGAGTGAGACTCCAACTCAAAAAAAAAGCTGAGTGCTTCCATCAGAAAAAGGGGCCGTTGGCACTGACCTGTGCTTTCTGTCTCAAATGTGGTCCCTGTCTCTGCTGAAGTAATCCTGTGTGACCGCTGGCTCCAGGAGGCCTTGATGTTTTCTACACAGGAAGGGACAGGAGTGTGGGTGAGATGTGGACACTCTGCTTGCTGCTACCAGGCATCTTGTAGGCTTCTTTGTTGCTCTGGGCCCAGCCTGGGAACAGTCTCTGAGCAGCAGGTTTGAGGGTCTGTGTGTGTCTCCACAGCGACCCTCCCCTGATGTGAAGGCTGAGTTGTTTGAACTCCTTTTCCGGACACTCCATCACAACTGGAGGTACTTCTTCAAGTCCACTGTCCTGGCCAGTGTCCAGAGGGGGATTGCCGAGGAGCAGATGGAGAATGAGCCCCAGTTCAGTGCCATTATGCAGGTAATGTGAGGGAGCTGGTGAGGCTGCTGTGTGGTCCTAGAACAGACAGGCTTCATTCAGGATACCACCTGGGTCTGTTGACCTGTCTGTCTCTTGGTTTGCTTCTCTGGCATAGAGTTCCACTTGCAATCTGCATTTTTTAAAGATAATTCTGGCTCATACCATATTGGGAGAAATGCTTCCCCGTGACCGTGAGTTAGCCCTCACTTTCAGATCAAATGTGACTGTGATATCTGATAGAGTGAGCTGTCTGTGGGGCTAGCCACACTTTGTTTTGGAGACTGAGATGCATCCCTTTGGCTGGACTGCCAGACTGGCTTGTGGCTGCTTTCAGAGCTCTCCTAACTTTTCATCTAAGTCGAGGTTCTCTTTTTGTTTCATCAGGGCATGCTTTTCCTCACTGGGGAAACTAGAGGGGTTTCTACCCATCCTTTCTCTTTTTGGCTCCCCCCAAACACACATCACATACATGGGCAAACGCACACACCTGTGTGGAAATTCTGTCTCTGGCATTTCCCTCTCTAACACCCCATCAAGGGCTTGGGTTTGGAGTCCTCAAGAAGTGTTTGCTCCCTCCTGCTTCCCTCTTGAACTCTGTCCTTGCCTTGGAGACTTCTTTGGCAGACTGATGACCTTGTCCCCCACTCAGGGCTGCTAAAAGCCACTTTGGAAAATAGTTTTACAGTTTGGCAGTTTCTTGTAAAGTTAAATATGTAGTTACTATATGATCTAGCAGTCCCACTTGTAAGTATTTTACCCAAGGTAAACAAAAGCATATGTTCACACAACATATACATATATATTTATAGTAGCTTTTTCATAATTGCCAAAAGCTGGAAACAATCCAAATATTCATCAGCTGAATGAATAAACAAGCTTAGTACATGCATATCATGGGCTAGTCAACAATAAAAAGGGGCATATTATTGGTACAAACAACAACATAGATGAGTTACACGTGTATTGTGCTAGGTGAAAGAAACCAGGTCTGAGACTACATTCTATATGATTCCATTCCATTTATGACATTCTGGAGAAGGCAAAACTGTAGGGACAGAGAATAGGCAGTGGCTGCCTAGGGGTGGGAGCAAGGTTACAACGGGGACAAGAGAGGGGACATTTTGGGAGATGGAAGTGTTCTATGCCTTGATTGTGATGGTGGTGACATAACCCTATGTATTGGTCAGAATTCATACAATGACAGACCTCAGAGTTTTTATACAGTTATACTTCCATGAATATACTTTAAATAATAAATAAGTAGAAACTATTGGTCATCATAGCGATCTCATCCTTGCAGCAGGGAATATAAAATTTGTTTCTGGTAGCTCAGACCCAGGGGCAGAATGGCGAAACAGTCACCAGGTGTTTTAGGAAGGGGTCCTGCAGACCACTGGCCTCCAGTGCCCTCCATGGTTACTTTCTATTGGAGCAGGGTGCTTAGTGTTTTGGGGGGATATGTTTCTTTTGACCCCTGAACTAGTAACTTTTACACTTGGAAATTCCAAAGCAGTTAAAAGATTTACTGTTGCTTAACCCCAAGGCAGAGGCAGCCGGCTATGAAGAGGCTGCTAAGGCTTCGTGACTTATGAGACAGACAGGTGTGGGATGTGAGGAGAAAGACAGCATCTGGAGGGGATTGAGTGGCTTAAGTGGAGGCAGGGAGGCTTTGAGGTCTGCTAGGATCGCTGAGGGATTTGACTCAAGTTGTGAGCTTCTTGCTTCAAATATAGGTTCTGTGAAGTGTTTCTAGAGGTTTATTGTAAAAGGAGCAAGATAAGACCAAAATAAGAAATGAGGCCCAGAGAGGAGGACTGAGGGAACTAAGACTTAGGAACAGCTCTGCAGACATCTAACTAGATAGGTCAGAAGAATCGAGACAGTGAGTGCCCTGGCCCTGGCCATCGGCATAAGGAGCTGCTTGTGGAGTGTTGACTCTTTTGGCATAGGGTAGATTCCCAGAAGGGTTGATCTGGAAGAGTTTTAAGTGCTGATTATCAAGCAGTGGTCTTATGTTCTAGGCTTTTGAGCAATCCTTTCTCCAGCCTGACATCCACCTTTTTAAACAAAATCTCTTCTACTTGGAGACTCTCAACATCAATCAGAAGCTGTACCACAAGGTAAGTGCCTTATTGCTCTTGGAAAGATTCTGTCATCAGAGGTGTTGTAGGCCAGTCCCACCCCTCAGGCCACTCATTAGAGAGCATTATGGGATGAGGGCAGGATCCAGGACAAGCCCCAGGGGGCCTGAGTGAGCTCTCCTAGTTGCCATTCAGCTGGTCTCTCTGCCTGCAGAAGATCTTTCGGACCACCATGCCGTTCCAGTTTGTGAATGTGCTGCTCCAGGTCCTTGTTCACAAGTCCCACGACCTTTTGCAAGAGGAGATCGGCATTGCCATTTACAACATGGCCTCTGTGGACTTTGACGGCTTCTTTGCAGCCTTCCTCCCAGAGTTCCTGACGAGCTGTGATGGCGTGGATGCCAACCAGAAAAACGTGCTGGGGCAGAATTTCAAGATGGATTGGGTGAGGAGAGAAAGAGGTCTGGGCTAAAGGCAGGCAGAGTGGGCTCTCAAGCCTGGCACCTATTCAGTGAGGAAGGGGCACGCTGTCTTGAGGAAGATCAGGGCCTCTGGGCATGGTTTGTACCACCCTGCAGGTTGTGCAATGACTGGATGTCTTGGTGCTATGGCTGGATTGAGGGACATACTTTTTCCTGCTCTTGGTGTCTGTAACACATATGTTCTTATTCTTAGCCGTTGAGGCCCCCCTCCTCCTGCCTCAGCAGGCCATCTGATTTGTCTCGGCGTCTTTATACTTACCCTCTATGCCAGTCAGAGCACACCTCTGACCAGGGCTCTGCCATGTTTCCTCCTGCTTGACAAGCCTTTAAGGGGCCAGCACTAAAGTTTGCCCAGACTTGTGTTCAGGCTGAGATGATTGGTACTCGGCAACTTCACCTCTGGGTCCCCAGGCTGCCCTGGGCTCTTCCCATGCCAGTCCTAGCTCAGTTTGGGCTGACAGATTCTGGGAGAAGCCTTTGTGATACTCACCCTCTTGTCCTGCTGCTGCCTGCCTGGGGAAGGTCAGGTGGCCTGTTCCTGCAGCACATTGGTGGAAGCTGGGATGCTGTTGGCTTTGGAGGCACGAGGCCACCTGTGTCAGTGTGTTGGGGCCCTGTGGTGCCCAACTTGTTCTGTCCTGGGACCTCCTTCCTGGGAGTCACCTGTCCTCCTTTTCCTGCTTCAGAGGTCCAGGGCTCTGCTCCTTGCTCAATCGCTGATGCTCACAATTTTTCCTGTAGAGTAAGTAGTTTTCCTCTTTTCCACTTCACACTTGATGGAATTAGGAGACGAGAGCTTCTCTTTCTCCCACGTCCTTTTGGTGTTCTTGACGCAGTTCCTCTACTTGGCAGCTTGACTACGTGTGGTTTCACTTGAGTGTTCAGTTCACAGGTTGTTCTTGCTGTGGCAGCCATTCCTGCTGCTGTTCTCAACCATGATGTGGTGCAGTCATTTCTCTTAGACTCATTCTGTCTTCCTTTGTCTTGGGAGCTTCCTTTCCTTCGGATCTGTCTTGTTTTTTCTTAAACTTCCTCATGTTCACGTCACACACTGGGTATTTCTTACCTTTTCCTAGAGGCCATATCCTAATATTTAATGACCAGCTTCTAATGACATCAGTATCAGTCAACTTTTGATTTAAATCAGTGACTTCAAAATCTAGCTACACATCAGAAGCACCTGGGGTGCTTATTAAAAACAGAGAAGCAGACTTCTGTGTTCCACTCAGGAAATTCTGCTTTAGCATTTGGGAACAACTGACTTAAAAGACATCTCTTGGTTGAACACAGTGGCTCAGCCTGTAATCCCAGCACTTTGGGAGACCGAGGTGAGAGATTGTCTGAACCCGGGGGTTTGAGACTAGCCCGGGCAACTTGGTGAGACCTCATCTCTACAATAAATCAAAAAAATAAGCCGGGCCTGGTACTGCGCTCTTGTAGTTCCAGCTACTTGGAAGGCTGAGGCGGAAAGATCGCCTAAGCCCAGCAGGTCAAGGCTGCGGTGGCCAAGAGCTTGCCAGTGCACTCCAGCCTGGGCGACAGAGTGAGACTCCAGCTCAAAAAAAAAGAAAAAAGAAAAGACATTTCTTATTCTGAGGTGAAATAAAGGAATCACCACCTTCTGTTTATTCACTGGCTGTATATTTGAAGTTGCTGTCTCTCAGGTCTGGTGCCAGGTGTTGGGGCACCAGACCTGCTTTAACAGTCCTTCAGGAAAAGCCGGTCCCGTATAGCGCCCTCTGCAGGCCACATCGTGCCAGGCACTTTACATGCTGTGGCTCCTTTAAACCTTGCCGCACCCTCTTGAAGGGTAGATGCTGTTGTTTGCCCCGTTTCACAGGTGACCCAGGTTTGGAGGGTCAGCAGTCAGTGGGTATTTACAGAACTTGGAAGTGGTAGAGCCAGGAAGCAGGAGTCAGACATGGTATTCTGGTTTCTGAGCCTGCACACACCCCGAAAGCAGGCAGAACCAGGTGCACAGAGAGCTTAGAGGAGGTGTGGAGCAGCCTTTGTGGGGAGGCGAGCTTAGAGCAGAATTCTGAAAGAGGCTAGGCAGGATGAGTGCTGGAGTGGTGTGGAAGAGAGCAGCAAGTGCCTTCAGCTGTTTTCTGAACCTTGTCCTGCCACTCACCTTGGCGCCACAGCCAGGTAGGCGTCCAGCTTGCTCTGACGGGGCCTGTGTACACTGTGGTTTGACCCCTCGTTTGGACTTACACAGGGCGTTCAGTGTTCCTGCTCTGAAGGAGCAAGGCCTCTTTGTGGTGTGCGGTAGCAGCCAGGGTTCCCACTGCGCATGCTCTCTCACTTCCCAGTCTTGGTCAGGGGCGCGTGTGCACTGCTGCTGGTGTGTCCCTCTCATGCGGCAGGCGCTGCCTGGGCCCCTGTGGGGGAAGGATCTGCAGACATGGCTGGTGTAAGTGTGTCACCTCAACTGGCCCTGGTGAAGGAGAGGGCTGTGTCCTCAGCCTTGGCAGTGTTTGAGCCCCGGACT